AGCAATGCAAGGGAGTTAACTGTGTGGACCTTATTGTCCCAGTTCTCAAAGAAACTTCCCTCAATTAGCACCAAAGGCAGGCTGTACATTCTATTCCAGTCTGACTATTACAAGTGATTTTATTTTTCGTGTTGTAGTCACTGATTTGATTTTACTGACTCAGATCAAATTTAATGTCACTTAGGCGAGGTTAATGATATTTAATGCTGGTGGGAGCAGTAAATCTAATCGGGATTGAAACTTGTTTTTCTCTCATGTATTGTAACAAATTAGTGTGTTCTCAGGTCTGAACTGTGGAAGAATTCTGTGGTTAAAACCACATCTGCCTACAGATTGAATTTAGCAGACACCTCAGCATAATAACACAACAGTTTTTGTTCAATGACGCAAGATTGCATTGCCAAGATTGGTTTATGCTTGCATTTATTGATCTTAATTTCTTTTTACTTTATGTGCTGTGAGTTCTATGTGTATCTTTAAAAAGTGATGGATAGTTAACATTTACATGTGGGGATTATATACCTTCCTGTCAATATATCTAGTTTCTGGTAGTGTTCGAACTTGACAGCTCGCTGCCCCCAGGGTTTTCTGTAGAGTAGATCATGTTACTTTCTGTTCTTTGGGAAGGAATGAAGCTTTGGTAAACTTTAAAAAACAAAAAAATATTTTAGATTTTAGAAACTGAAGAGCCCCTATGAGTAGAATCAGCCTTCCTACTAAGTTGGGGATGAGTTTAATCGATGGACGGTTCCCTGGAGGGTGTGTTCCGAGTGGTAGGGAATACACTCGTGTTTATGAAATTACTTCATTGAAATTGTTCCAGTTTACATAATACCACTATGAAAATGTTTAACATATTTCTGAAAGTGTGGGTGAGTGAGTAAATGGTGTTTTCTCTGAAATTTCCAGCAATATGATGATGGCCTTTACAGTCGCCTGTAGTTAAACAGTTTGCATGTGAATCTTGTTTTTGCAGCAGTCAGCAACTTTATTTAATGGTGTCTAGGCCAGGCATACCAGTGGCAAGAGCAAACCATCCACACAATCATAATAACGATGACACCAACTTACATAGTAATCACATTGGCCTCCGTGGTCTAGTGGTAGAGCGTCCACCCGGAGAGCGGAAGGTCCGGGGTTCGATCCCCGACCGCGTCATACCAAAAGACGTTAAAAGATGGTACTTGTTACCCTGTCTGGCGCTCGGCATTAAGGGGATAAAACAAGGACTGGTCGGCTTGTAGTCAGTATACTGTGTCTGAGTGGGGTATTCATGTTAAACTGCGGCATGGTATCTCAGTGAGCTAGCACTATAAATCGGCATCAGTCTGGACTAGTGCAAGCAGCCACACACACACACACGTGCATGCACGTCGCTATATAAGTGCAATAATCTTGGACGCGACGTTAAACACCATTTCACCTCACCTCACCTCTTACAGGACAGACATAGGGACATTGTCATCACATTCCCATAACCCATCTCAGATCTATGACTGTCACAAGCCTAGGTTAAAGTATGGAAGGTACAATCACCTTAGTGCTAAGATCCATTGGGATCTGAGGTATCCCCATACTATTGATTAAATATACGAATAGAAATGAAAAATCTGAAATGTCAAAAGTCAGGTAGCTAGAAAAACTTGCTGTTAACAATGTAACTAATGAATTAATGTCATTTTATTTTGTAATGAGCAACAACACGGCTCTGTCATGGTGGCATGTAAGTCAATGAGCAAGGACCAGACATTAAACTAGCGGACACTCTGTGTGTGACGACACTCAGTAAATTACAGTAAAGAGATGCATGGTCTTCATCTTTCCTCCACAGCCGGGGGGCCAGGCTTTGGATAACAGTTATACAGAAGTACAGAGGATATTTACTGGAACTAGATTAGAAAACAAATATTCTAACTGAATTGGTTTTGTCAATATTGTCTTTACATCTCAGGGTTTTTTTTCAACTTTTCAAATATAGGTTATATTTTGTTCAATCAAAAGACAATCAACAACTAAAATGTTATTGTATGGATTATTCTGGTGTATTGGATTGAAGCGAGGAATTTGTGAAAACTTATTTCAATAAACATGGAGCGATTGATGGAGTGAAATAAAAAAGTTCTGCAAAATGGTAATTGGCAATAAATTTGAAAAATACAAATAAATAATAATGAAACTTCATCAAAGAATGATGTTTTCTTGTGTATTCCAAGAGCACTTGTTTCTCCAAACATTGAGCATGAACAGTTGCGTAGAATCAATGCACAGCAAACTCAAAGCCACTACACTGCAGATCATGAGGAGCATGTGGCCTGTGAGCATCTGTGTTCAAAACCATTAGCCTTGTGCGTTTCTGGTAATGATCCCTGTCTCAGAAACACTATCATGACACAACTCCAGACGAAAGGTAGACTGTTTCTCAGCCACGTTCAATAAACCCTTTCCTTCTCCTTTAAAGACATGTTTCCTGAGCCTGGGGACGTTTGGGTGGTTGTTTGCATCTTTAATTGGGAAGAACATCGTCGTCTTGTGCATGGCCACAGTAATGATCTGTAGTGACACTTGAGGGTGTTGCAGCGTGTGATGCGCCATGCATGTTTCATCCTTATTGGCTAATAACAAAGGATTACTTTAAAGCAATGTTTAAAATATTACTGATCCTTTCTTAATCAGATGTTGCTGCAAGCTATGTAGGTCATAAGGAAGTTTGATGTGTGTAATTTGTCCATGATACAGGGCCGAGATATGTTTGAGCTTGTGTATTTTCATCTCACTAAGGGGATGAGGAAGCCGCCTGATCCGCATTAAAACGGAAATATGCAAATATTGTCAAAATTGATCACCATGCATTTTGATGAAGCTCTACACTTTCTGGCAATTTGTCACTGTGACAGGACCTGGTAAACAGCATTGTGGGATACGTCAGGATATTGACTGGCGAAGGTTATGGACTAAAGGAGATTGTCTTTCATCTTGATAATCAAAAGGTTTGCCTGACATGTCATTAAAGGTTCTGACTGTGGAAGTTAATTTTTTCAAAAGATACTCTCTTTTTTTTACATTCGTTTGACATAAGATTGGTGAGTCCCCTTTCAACAAAAAATTCTTTTGACAGGAAGTCCGGCTAATGGCTTCATCCAGTGTTGGGGCTGGTTGTTCCATAAAGTCCTTATTGGGGATATAAGGATTCTGCAAAATATATTGCGTCATCACAATTCTGGTGTTTGGGTAGCCTAGTGATGAAACTATTTGCCTAGGTTCAGTTTCTGACAAGGGTACAATGTGGGAAGCCCATTCCAGGTGTTCACAGTCATAATATTGCTGACAGTGATCACGGACCTATACAAGTCCGTGCAGTGATGTACTATCGGACTCGATTGCTCTCTCACAATATGTGATATGAGGAGATCTCCAGGTAGAAAGTGATACATGTTTGAGAAAAAAAGACGTTTTATGTGGCATGAAGATGAATTGTGTGTACAGAAAATATGAGAGTTCCCATTAGTTGTTAGTTTAATGGGGAACTGCTTCATAAAGTGAATGAGTGAATCAGGTTTTATGCAGCTTTTAGTAATTTTCCCGCTATATCCAACCGGGGACTCCCAGCAAGCTATGTTCACTTATATCATCACAAATTGACAGTGAATCATACACACATACGTTTGATGATAAATGATACAATAAACTCTGCTTTTAGAGATTTCTTATTTCACACATTGTACCCATGAGGGGACCGAACCCAGGACTTCGGCATGGTGAGCAAACGCTTTAACCACTTGGCTACCCTCCCACTTTGCTTAATAGGGGTGGTCAGGTAGCCTAGTGGTTAAATCGTTCGCTCATCACGCTGAAGACCCGGGTTCGATTCCCGACATGGTTACAATGTATGAAGCCCATTTCTGGTGTCCCCCACCGTGATATTGCTGGAATATTGTTAAAAGCGGCGTAAAACCATACTCACTCACTCATAAAGATATACGAGACTCAGCCATGCGGCAGTCACAACAAGTTTAAATCAAATGCCACTTGATTTGTCTGCTGACTCAAATTTGAGATGTTGATCAACTCAGCAGTCTTCCACAATTTCCCTTCATGTATTCAACCAAATTGCTTGTCCAGCCCTGATTAGTTTACAGGTAGGCATTGTATAGCTGTAACATTGGCCGAGTTTACCTACTCACACTTCCTTACACTGGGAGTCGGTCAAGGAGCCACTTTGGAGTTACTGGTTGATAAATTAGATTTTCCTTGTTTTATTCGTGTTAGAAATTCATCTCATGGAATGATGCAAACTAACCCATGCTGATACGATGCATAATAGCACCAGAAAATCAATATTAAAAGGTTTAGCCTTGTTCATGTAGAAATAAGTAATTGCATGAACCTGCTCAACATGCTCACATGAAAATGGAATCTAGTCTTGAAGTTTATATTGAACCCAATTTAGGCTGCATTTATGTACTGTTAACTGAGTTTTTTTACAAAACTAGTCTTTATGCATCATAATGGCTTTTCTGCTTGAAATAACTGTATATCGCTCCAAGGAGTAGGAGGCCAGAATGTAGTATACCAGCCACTCTAGAGATACAATTCCTCAGGCCTTATCAGATGTTATATCTTCCAGACAACATATCATATTGGTATTATAATTAGAGCCCAAATTGCCCAAGTCGATCATCTAACCTGAGGATGTGAGGTTTGTGGGCTAAGCTGAGATAGTTGTGGGGCGTATTTTCTCCTATCCTTAACATCAAACGTCTCCGGTTGTCGGCTCGAGTTGGAGGAGGTAGTCTATGATCTTGTCTGAGCCAGCAATTAGGATATTATCACCTTCTCTCATCATTCAGCCTCTGATTAAAGTTTTTATTTGACACTGTTGGAAATACGTTTTCTCTACCTTCGTGAGTGTGTGGATCAAGAATGGATAGTTCTTCATGTCTTGGTTTAAATGATTGATCTATTTGTGAGGTGTCTTTTATTCGGATTATTCGTGTTTTCAGGTTTGACTGGCAATAAAACCAACATTTGGAGTTCTGTATCCAGTTTGGAGAGTATTGATGCTGTCAAGGTAAGATTTAGATGGTGCTGAAACTGTGATTTTATGTGATGTTTGTGATGAACTTTTAACTGTACAGGTGCAGTTCATGTGCACTTGCAATGATCTATCAGTAGGATGCTGTTTCAGTGAGATGTATTAGTTCCTTAATGTTGTGATAACACTGTTGAATTAAACATTGAACTTTGTACGATCTTGATCAGAATTAAGACATTAAGTACAATATCAATGTCATGATAAATACCTTTCCAAAGTGATTGAATTGACAAAATGTTTGAGTTTATGCTCTGAGCCATGATTTAGTTCCCTGTTTTGTTCATGTTCGTGGGATTTTCTGTAAAAACAAAATAAATTGAAACACAACTGTTTCAAAATGGAAGAAAAATATATCAAGAACATGCAAACAGAATATAAACATGCATTAACGACATTACTTTGGGTCTTTCATGCGACAGTCTTATATCTTTATGGCTTTTTTAATTTTTCAATATGGATGAGATCCTGTACATTATTTCATGCCATTTATTATGGCGAAAATAAAATAATATTCATCAATGGCTGATAGTTTGAAAACCCTTTGTCAGGAAGGCAATAAGTTGCATGGTTATTAAGGAAATAACGACACATATGATTCAGTGGACACAAGTCATGGGTTCAAATCCCATTTTTGATCTGTTGTGATTCTGTCAGCACCATACCAGTCAGTACCTTCCCATGCTCATGTGTTTGATTCATCTTTTTGGCAGTTTAAACTGACACATGATTTAGGGCCTTGACCCAGGTACCCCCATGACTACCCGGACACGTGTTTAGTCACGTAATATATTGTTTAATGACCAAAATGATCTAAATCTCTATGGTTACACTACAAGTCCCTTATGTTCCCATTTCTTTCTGACTATGCACCCTTCCTTCTGACTTTTATATGTTTGAATAAAGATAAAACTTCATGCAGTAAACTTCAGTGCTACTTCGCCTTACACATGTATCTAAATACATTTTGCCAGGGCTACGGTCAAACTTTTCCAAATCAGACAGTTTGTACCTATCTCTAGATATCTACAGCGGGTATCCGGGTAGGGTCGGGTAATTAGTGATGGGTACCTGGGTAGTAAATTTAGACTTGTCCCAACCCTAACATGATTGTATAACTTGAATTCTGTACAAGCAGTGTTTAACCCATCTTACTCTCAGTGAGTGAGTGAGTTTTATGTCGCTTTTAGCAATATTCCAGCAATATCACTTCGGGGGACACCAGAAATGTGATTCACACATTGTACCCATGTGGGGAATCGAACCTGGGCCTTTGGCGTGGCAAGCAAATGCTTTGACAACTAGGCTACCCCACCGCCCCTTACTCTTAGTCACTCACTGTTCAGTTATAACTGAAGTATGTACAATACTATTAAATCTTGTGCCTGCAATTGGGAATTTATCCTTGGAAACAGGCAACCCTATGGGTGATGGTGTACGTGGAACATGTCCGTAGTGTCAGCATTCCCCTGCCCTCTCTCTCAGACACGGGACAGGGCCGTGGGGTAGCCTTGTGGTTAAAGCATTTGCTCATCACACCGAAGGCCCGGGTTCAGTTCCTCACATGGTTACAATGTGTCAAGCCCGTTTCTGGTGTCTCCCGCTGTTATATTGCTGGAATATTGCTAAAAGCAGTATAAAATCAAGCTCGCTCACTCTCACTCACTCACTGGGCATACAGAAAGGTAGGTGGGGTACATTTGGGCAGTCAGAAAGGTATCTGGGGTACACTTGTGTTTACAGAAAGGTATTTGGGGTACATTTGTTGTACCTGTGGCAACAATGACCCAACAGCAGTAATGTTTGTTTCAATCATTTGGACAAGAAACCACACCATTAAGCTGTAAACTGCATGTTTTATTCATATTCATGGTCCAAACCATCCTTCGAGGTCTGTGGTTTTATAGTGAGAATATCACAAGTTGTTGGTTTTCTGAGTTGATCACCAATCAAAGTACACCATTCATTACTCGCAGCCATTGTGACAACCTGATTCACAAAGTAATCTTCTGTCACAAAAACATCACAGTCCACTGGAAGACCATTCAGCCACAGAATTCCCAAGGGGATATGAACGAAACAACTTTCAGTAATTAGGAATAATCAGGACTGAAGGATATAATCACATCATGAGCAAAGAGACGGATAATCTGTTGCCTATAAGCAGCGAGTTCTCTAAGTGCAAACTGGGTGTAGATTCCTCAGCAGTATTTGTCCCCAGATCCCCATTAAGCTTGTTGTAAGAGGCAAGGCAAGTGGGATCAGGTGGTATTGCAGGATCGGAATAGTAGATGTAGAAATGACCACTTCCATGACCATCGCTCAACTCCTGCTACAGGAGTGGGTCCTGGTATCCTGATTGAGTGGATCACTGGTCACATTACTGGACACTGGTTTGTCTGTGCCAGATCAGGTTACGGACAGATCACGGTCACAATGTCAAGGCTAATTAGATACTGCTTGGGACAAACTTTTTAAATATTTTGTTTCAGAATTTTTGCAAACCAATCAGCAAATTTAATTTGTGATGCTGAATATTTTAAGTTCTGTTGAGAATGGAGTTGTTTTTGTTGGTTTGGTTGTGTACAAAGTGCATGATTTTAATATTTTACATCAGCATGTTTACAGTTTCGTTTTCTTTCTAAGAGGGTTGCAGTGACCAGAGAATGATAGTATTATTTAGAAAGTTAAAAATTTCGAGGGATGTCAGGAAACAGGTATCACATTTGATACATATCTCGATACAGAAGTCACGATACAATATGTATCTTAATATTGCATATATTCAACATTTTTTGCGGCAACCCCAGTCATTAGACTGAGAATAGTGTCCATAGACTCGCTCATAAAGGGTAAAGAAGGACAACTGACTGATACCTAACACCTAATTCCTGCATCACTTAGGGCTTTCCTCCTACATTAAACTGATAGGCCGTGACATAACTAGCATACTGCTCAATAGTAGATTTAGCCCAACACGCTCATCCCTCAATAAGCGGACACGATATGACAGGTGTGTTGTTGAAGGCGACATTAAGTCTTGGTAAGCTCATTCAGTAAGCTAAACCCAAATTACCTTCACTCACTGTTCCACAAAGACATTGACCTTAGCCATTCTTTTTGCTGTGCTCACAGATGTCTCACACAGACGACAGTTGTGTTCGTCTTCATTCAGCATCAGACACGAGGGTTCCTTTGTAATGTTTTTCCAATGTCCTAACATCGTTAAACAACATATGTTGGGTCTGGTTTGATTTTAACTTGAATCTCACAAGTCTGATTTTGTTAGCAGAGGAACAAAATGTTTCATTCAGCTAACAACAGAATGTGATGGCTGAAAATAGCTATGTTTCCTCCTGGTTACAAGTTAAATGGTCTGTGTTACTTTTATAGCATTAGCTAGTCACCATGTGGATGGAATGGTTTCAATATATCTGAAGGTTGAAGATAATTAATGGTAGTTAAAGGTCTGTTTTCTTTATGTGAAAGTTAAAAAGTACTTACATGACATTTTCCAATCTATCACAATTCAGTTATTCAATTACAATGCCTAGTGCGTTGGCCTCATTAGTTACATAAAGCTGTCACTGGGTGGCGCCACCTTTGCAGAAGCATGTCACCAATCTCCAAACTCCCACACATCGGCACAGACAAAACCAAGCACCACGACTTTGGATTTTTGTTCAAGACAGAATATTTTGTCGGTCTTTGAATCACAACATATAATTTTATCCTCTCTGAAAGTAAGAGCTGGTACACCAAACAGCCATCACATCTTTTCTCTCAGAACACCCACTGTGAACCAGAATTTATTAGGAGGGTGGGGAAACGTGAAGCAAAATGATTTTTATTCTGCATTTTTTAGAACAGGTTATATTTTTTCTGTGAGATGGATTGTGCGATGCGATCCAATGGACAAGAAGTCATAAAATCAGTCTGCACTTTTAACCATCTGTGACTGAATGATCTGGCCAGAACACCTGAGAGTGGAGGGTTCTGTCCAGGGAGTCATTGGCCAGCCTTTAATTAGCATCCTACTTCATAAAGTGGGCAGCCTAGATTGCTGGTAATCAGGATGTATATGGTCAGGGGAAATAGGGTGTTGAAGGGCAGTGACATTTTGTATAGATTAGACGTGCTGTTATTTGGATCATAAATATACAATTTGGGGCTTTAATGAATGAAGTGTAAATATGTTTGTACACTGGGATATTTGTGAACTTGAGAACATTGGAGACTTTTCTGAAATCCTTTGTGGACATTAAGAGACAGTGTTGAAATTAAAGGGGGTCTGTGGGGCACTTGAAGTTTCCTTTTATGATAGTTAAATGTCCAGAACCCTTTAAACTTTGGGAGCCATGGGTGGCCCTGTTGTCTAAGGTGCTGCCATTTGCTGTGCAGAGTTGCATCCCTTGGGCACAAAAGCAACCTGTGTTAAACCCAACTCACTCACTCACTCACTCAAACTTTTATTTTTAACATTAGGTTTATGAGAACCCCTTGACTTTGACATTAATGGTTTGTACGCTGAGGTATATTCAATCTTTGACTGTTTTATTCAGTTATATGGTTTAAATAAAATATTTCATTTTTAAGGTTCTGTGAAGTTTGTGGACACTGATGTATTTTGGTTTAATGAATTTGTAATAAGATGTGTTTAATGAAGTTTATGTTGTCAAACTATGTTGAATGTGGGTGTTTGAATATAACCAAGTTCATAGTGAGATTGTTCAGGTGCTCTTCAGTCAACATTGGGGAGAAAGAAATTGTGTGTTATGAAATCACAAGAGGTTGTGTTTCCATCAGTTCCAATAAGTCCACCATTACACACACTTCATCTTCAATTAAGCTGTGAATGAAGGGATGGGAAAGAAGGCTGATGGTGTAACTCCCAGCGTTGAGGTCTGGTTACCATCTATTGACCATAGTTTGTCTGATCAGCCTAGCCCGGTGGATTTCACTACAACAGACTGGATTAA